TAGGTATGTTAAGGGATGGGGACCGCGGGGATGTGGGCTTGCGGGGTGCGGGAGGATTCGCCTTGGGTTTCGGGTTTGCGGCGGAGGAGTTTGGCTCGTGGTTGGGTTGGGTCTATGGGGTTGTGGCGGCGGACGAGTCTGGTTGTTTGGCGCCCGGGGCGGCGGGTGGGTGTGCTGGCAAAGGGTTGTTGGGGTTGTTGGGGTGCTTGGGGGGTTGTCAGGTCGGGAGCAAGCGGAAGTGGCGGAGGTGGCGGAGGAGCAGGAGGAGCAGGAGGAGCAGTAGGTGTTGGTGGTGGTGGTGGTGGTGGAGGAGGAGGCTGTTGCGGTTGCTGAGCCGACTCGGCTGCTGGTTCAGGTTCTGGAGGTACTGGAACCGGTGCCGGGTTTGCAACCGGGACAATGGGGACAACGGGCGCTTCGCCAGCTGGCTCGTTAAAGAACTGCTCGCACCACTTACGCACATCGGCGTTCCTCTGCCATTCCCATTCCGACTTCACCTCACGATCAATCGCTTGTTTTAACTCGTGAAATGCTGGTCGTTGTTCAGGCTCTTCTAGCATGCAGGCGACAACGAGGTCGAGCAGCACACGGTCATAGATCCCGTCCCATATTTTGCCTTGGAGATAACCACCATAGCCCCAGAGCTTCCTCATTTTGGGTTGACCGGTTTTGGGGTCCAAAACAGGGTTGCCAGTATCCGGATCGGTGACCTCCTTCTCAAAGCACTCATATGGTACTGGAGAAAAGGGCAGTTTGCGAAGTGTTATCAGCCCCCACATAACCAGACCAACATGATAGAGGTTGGTTTTGTACGAGTATTTGCCGGCAATACTAGACTTCTTTTCCGGGTCTGTTTCTTCAGCGGGTAGGAATCCCGTGATGTAGTCCCACTCCTCGGTAAACTGCTCTGGTAACAGCCATCCCAACCAATATTTACCTCTTGGCCGGGATATGTGCATCAGCTTGGGATCGTTCCGCATTGCATTCCTCATGAAAGTTGTCATTCCAAAGTCTGCGAGCTTTATGATGGGCACCATCGTGTGAGTGATATCCGAGTCATTGTCCGCAAAGTCGCCAACACACAGATTTGTCGCATCGAGGTCGAAATGAACCAAGTCTGGGCTCATTTCGTACTCGCTGGGGGGGAGGATTTCGTTGATGGGATACTTTCCCAGGTGGCGATGAGTGCTATTATATAGCTCCTCTTGGAACCGTGGGGGGTAGGCCAGAGCGAGAGCGGCCTTCAACAAGCAGTCGAATATCAGCCATAGTACCTTTTCTGGTAACGCTTGTCCGAGCAGGCTCATCCGGCCAATCCAGCTTTCGAGACCGCCCCTCCGCATCATTTCCAGGATGAGAGTCGGACCATTGTCGTCCACTTTCCCAATGTTGCTCCTCTCGACCGTCCTGTCCTGAGGATAGTTCCAGTGATGAAAGGCCTGTACAGGATAGCCTTTAGCCCCCGTGCCATCGTCTGTATCGGTGCTGCCATCCGGATCATCGTCCGGGGGCGGCGCCGGTGGTGGGGCAGGTGTCGGTGTGATGGTCCTTCTCGATGGTCCAGCTTTCGACACGAGTCCTCCAGCCTTTGATACGAGTCCTCCTCCGGCCTTTGACACAAGTCCTCCAGCCACGACCCGCGGATCAACACCTGGTAATGGTGCCGTGTTTTTCTTTCTTTCCGGAGGGCGCAAGTAAACCCTTTGTGTGATATGTCGTGCCCGTGCCAGATATCGGTGCATCTGCTTCTCATTTTCCAGCTCATTGCCCGATATAGCATTCAACGCGTACTTGAAGACCACGTCTCTGGTCCGGCCCTTCAAGTCCTGGATCGTGTACATGGCAGCGAGCCCGTTCCCACCAAACCCAAGGAACTTTCTGAAGCCAATTTGCGCCTGCGGCGAGACGATGTACAAGGGAATGTTTTCGAGTTCCTTCTGGATCTCCTCGGGTAAATTGGACACACCTTTGTCTCCCAGGTCAAACTTGGGAAGACTCTGAATGTTTATCATTGAGTTTTTCTGCTTGTCATTTTCGTGGCCGGGAGCCTTGCCCGGCAGGGGAAGGTCGTAGTTTCTCCATAGCTCAGGTTGATCGCACTCCTCTTCCCACAGCCTTTGTTTTCCAAGGCGGTAGTAGACGAGGGAGGTTGCATTGCGCTGACGATAGAGGTGGAGCTTTCTCATATAATCGGGGTCGCGGTCCCTATATCTACGGTCGATGAGGTACCCGGGCTGACCGGCTTCTTTGCTGACTGCTGGCGGCATCTTGTTCAATATTGGTGATCAGACTGGTGATGGCGCTGTTGGGAGATATATGGCCTTGCGATTAGCCCGCGCCACATCTATGGAGGCGGGCGAAGAATGCAGCAGACTGTTGATTTTCTTATGGAGTGGTTAATGTCATCAAGCATGTTTGTGTCTGAGATTTGCTGTAAGATAGGTGCCAAGGCCGTTTGAACAAAGACAACATCGGGACAAACCTTTACAATGAATTCGCGTCAATCATGCCGCATCCGGATGTCGGATGTTGAGGCTACCACAACAAAGACAATCACTGTCGTCTTAATTAGGCACGCCTTCATGTATAGTCCAGTGCTCACCTGCCGAGGCACCGGACAATGAAACTGACCTGATGAGAACAAGCCCGAGGTTGTCCTAGTACCTTAGCTTATCGTCACACGACATCCAAAAATAGCAAGCTGTGTCACTCCTCTATCCCAGTAGCAAAGTGACAACAAATATACGCAATGGAAGACTTACTCAAAGCAATACATTTACTCAAAGCTCACAAAGAGCAACATATACACAACTTCCCATCCCACCCCCTCCCAACCACCACACCTATGCCCCCAAATTCCACCTCCCACAACCTAAATATACTCCCTCAAGATATTATTATAATTCACATACCCCGTCCCACTAGGCGGCTCAAAGCTAAACATGTAATCCCCCCACCACGGACCCCCAGCCCACCACAACGCCCCCTGCCAAACATCACTATTCGCCTTCAAGTGATCCAGCAGTCCCCTAACGGCCTGCTTGCAAACATCGTTCGGCCCACCAGCAAACTCGCCCAAGATCCCCTTCTTGTTGTTCGCCCTCAACCAGGCAGTAGCGCCCACCACCCTCTGTGCCCCAATCTGCGCATTCACACACGCCGGCGCTGTCCCCGACCCGTCAGAGTCCAGGTACTGATGCATCTGGTAGATAATCTTGTTCTCCGGGTCCGTCAGCGCGACGAGGTTGGTGTTGGTGACGTTCCAAGTCCAGGCTCCGGACCAAGAGTTGCCCTCGACCCAGATGTACTGCTCCTTTGCGCCCGCTGCACGGATGCCGTTGATGGCGGCTTGGTTGAGCTGGAGGACCAGGTCCTGGGACATGGTGTGGTACTCGTTGTTGGTGTCAAAAATAACACGGGGGTTGTTCACGAACTGAGTGGCGAGGTTGCGCCAGAAGGTCTGGAAGTCGGCCGTGTTGGTGATGATGTTGCCGAAGTAGCGGCCGTAGTTGTGGGGGTCGAGCACGGCGTAGGCGCCGGCGTTGGTGATGAAGTTGATGGAGTCGGTGAAGTTGCGGAGGTAACCCGCGTCGAACGAGTTGGTCAGGCCGTTTTGGGCGAGACGCTCCATGGCGAAGCCGACGCGGAAGGTGTTGTAGCCTTGGTTAATCAGTGTCTATACCGCTTGTCAGCCACATCTCCTTTCCATCATGTGTCCAAGAGCTTCCTACCCTGATGGCATTATTGTCCGGAAAGATAAAATGCGTCCCCCAAACACCAGGATACGTCTTCTCTCCAAACTCGCCACCAGCCTGGTTGGTACCGAACCACTTGAACTTGCCCGGGGCCAAGGTAGGGGTAGCAGCCGCCGAGGTCGTCGCAGCACGGGTGGTCGATGTCACGAGGGTCGTTGGCTGAGGGGCAGCACCGGGTTGGCACTGGCTGTACCACTGGTTGACAAAGACACAAGTGTGCCCAGAGACACAGGTCGTCGCGCCAGACCAGTTCTGACCGCCGCACTGGGCCCAGGCACCGGCTTGAGCAGCCGCGCCAGCCGCCAGAGTGGCGACGGCACCGGCAATGATGGAGCCCTTCATCTTGTCGTGGAGTTCACTGGGAGCAAGACAGGTTGGTCAACAAAACATCTTCCTGGCAGACGGGGGAACATACTCGCGCTTTTATACCCTTCCTCTCCCCCCCCCCAACAACCTTCCATCTCTTCAACCGCCCTTGTCGGAGTGGAGATGGGACCGTTAGCGATGCGGCTCTCGCCATCTCGGCATCACGGTCCCCTTCGATTTGGCAGGGGAGAAGCCGTTGAAGCATGGTGATTTCCGGGGAAGTCGCCTTGTTCAGTGGAGCGACGTTGCATCGTGCATTGCTAGACGCAACTCGAGGCGGTCCCTGACATCCCGGAGGGCGGTAGAGGCGAACCCGGATACCGGAACGGGAATGAATCACCTCACCTTCAAGGGAATTCTGCTGTCTTCTTCCGCGTTGATTGAATGACGAATGACGCGTGCGGAAGAATGGCTTGCGTTGCGCTGTCCTGTGGTGAGTTGGGCCCGCGGTCCGGAAACGCCCAGCAGTTTTCACCACGGACGAAGGTCTTCCGTTTGTCGTCTTTGGCACAAACGTCCGTGCCAAGACCCACGATCAAGATTTGCCCAGGACACTGACAAATGCTTGTCATGGTCGGTTAACATGTGCCGCGGATTCAGGGGCAAGACAACGAGAAGATCGACTGGATGTGCATATCAACTACTCTCTCTTCATCAAGAAGATGAAGACAGCAAATGTCCCGAATATCTACTCTGATTAGCAGTACAGGATTACAGGGTGTATGCCACAGACATAGATACTGCGATACAACCCATTTCTTCCTCCTGACGTCTCAAGACTCTCACTGTTCCATCACCATCCGGTCCATCCACTTCCAACCCGTCTTGAATATATCTTGTCGAACAAAAGCGTGCATCTCCTCGCAAGTTCACTGCCGACATACTCCATCTCAGTCTTTCCTCCCGTGTCAAACCGCAGCCGACTAAGCTTCTTGCTGTCAAACTTCTCCCATCGAGCCGTTCCTTGGGCCCGCTCTGTGTTGGGATCAAATGTCTTGATAAAGCTGATCCAGTATTTCTGAATTACATCAACGGCGTTTTCGTTGAGCTCTCCCTCTCTATACGTTCTTGGTGCATTGATGTACGGCTCTAGAACATACTCTGGTCCAAACAACGCAGATATCTCGCTGACATGAGGGACGCCGAGTCCTGCTGCAATCTGGTCGGGATCCTCGACGTTCCAACGATAGTTCCACGCGTTGTTGAAGCCATGGTCTGGGAAAGCAGAGCTCATGTAGATGCTAGGGCACATGTAGCGCATGTCACCGTATACTTGGCTGAGTTGCTCTCTCCAACAGTCTCTTGCGGGGCATCTGTCTTGCTCCTTCACCGTGTTCTTCCACGCCTTGTTGAGCAACCACAACTTTCTGAGTGTCAAAAAGGGGTATTGGGTCCTCATCCATCGATTGCTGTGGGCGACAGTCGAGGTGAAGGGAGAAGTGAAGATGCTGCCACCATTGGTATCGTCACCCCAGATGACTGGCACCTTGATAAACCTTCCTTGCTTGAACGCTTCGATGAGAGGTAGGCTGAACATGTCGTAGTCGATCACGGGTCCCCACATAAACAAGGGGTTGAGTGATTGGCCAGGGTATGGTGTGCCAGAGCCATGCATCTGAATCTCTCGGTACGGCTTCTTGCGTAGACAGGTGAGTACAGCCTCCGAGCTGTTGCTGACGCAGCCGATGCGGACGACAAGATCTTGGAACTGGTAACGGGCTTCTTTGGCGGTGATAACATGACCCCAAGCCGCTGACTCGCCGGCGCCAGCGTGGAAAAGGTCTTGATCACGGCCGCCATATGCGGTGAGGTGCCAGGCGATACTTGAGGCGCCGGCGGATGCACCACCGAGGACAACATGGTCTGGGTCACCACCAAACTGGGCAATGTTCTTCTTGACCCTGCATAGATGAAGAGGGTCAGTACATGGGCACACATGACCATCAGTGTCAGACATACCACTTCAAGGCTTGTCGTTGGTCTCGCAATCCATTGTTGGGAGTTAGCTTGTCGCCGTCCACGAGGAATCCCCAAGGGCCGACTCGGTAATTCAAAGTGACGACAACGATGCCCATCTCGCTCTTCTTGACCAGGCCGGTGCCGTTCAGGCGAGGATGGGAGTTCGCATTAAACCCTCCACCTTGAATGTAGACGAAGACAGGCAGCTTAGACACCGGGTGTGCTCTGCTGGGAGCATAAACATCGAGGAAGAGACAGTCCTCGGAGTAATTGGCCTCATTATTTTGGCTGGGAAGAACCCCAGTTGGGAGGCAGATTGGACCATGCTTGGAGAAGCATCAGTATCAATGCCCAGAAAACAAAGACCAACAGGAAGATATATACCTCGTAGGCATATTGCGTGCCGTTCTCTGGGAGAGGGTCAACTGGGGGCTGGAACCGAAGTTCCCCAAGAGGAGGGGCAGCGTATCGGATTCCCAACCAGTGGGAGACACCACAATCGAGAACCCGGCCGATGTGGTCCCCATTGCTGAGCTTGACGCGGGGACTAAGGCCCCAGGTCTCGAGAGGAGAAAGCAACAGGAGGAGGCAGGCGACGGCAATGGTGGCGAACATCGCGAGGAACCAATTAATGTTTTTGGCCCGGCGAGGATCTCGTTGGGCGGTGGTGGTGGTGTTGGGGGAGAGAAGATGACGGGCCCCCCAGCCCCCAAGTCTAAGAACAAGTCCCAGGAGAACGCTTGCAAACAGGTTTATCTTGCTGGTTGTGCGCGAGCAGACGCAAAATCAATTGGGCGGCAGGAGGAATCACTTACTTGTAGCACCGCGGGCACGCGCGTCAGCCAGCGTGTGGGTACGGCAGGCAGCACAATGTTCCGGACGCAGTGGACCATGGGGAAGCCATGAGGAAGCAGTTGTACGTAAGTTCCTTTCATACTAGAGTACACACCGCATATTCAAGTGATCACGGCCTCGAGGTTCATATTCAGGTAGGCAGGCACGACAGTCTTTGTGCAACTTGGCACTGGGTCATGGAGCACAAGGTCCTCGATGGTCCCCATGGTCAAGCTGGTCGAGTATGGCGAGGCCTATCGTGGCACCATCTACTGAACAGATCTCTGATAGAGGTAGGTATCTAAAGGGCAGCACAGCCTCCTCATGATATTCAAATCTGGAAGCTGGAGGATAAGTGATGCCAGTGTTTGTAATATTATATGCTACCTCCTATAAATAGGCACTCAACAAATAAATATCTATTCCCGACAACAGCCAGATCTCTGAGTATCACTACCTTCAATACTTCTGCTTCACAATCACTTGAGCATGTTCCATGACGGAAACATGACTGCGTTTCAGTCAGTCGACGTGTTGAGAAGGTGCGGATGGATGGTTGATGCATGACCCAACCGGAGCAAGTAGTGGCAGTCCTATCCTATCTTCCGGTGCCGTTCATATGTCAGAACAATCCGCTCAGGCCTGACCCAATACCTGCTAACAAGGCAAGCTTCGGCCTAATGAGCTTGAATCCATATCAATTCGTGTACCTACCGGTACCTATGAGGTTCAGCCACAGTTGCTTCAGCCGATGGGCAGGGCAGGCTACAAAGAAATGGATGCTGGACAGGATAGACCTGCCCTCATTCATGACAGGGAAAGGGACATTGCTCGGAGAAATTGATGATGTGAGTTTTGAAGTGAAAGAGCAAGCCTAATTGCCTGATCAGTTCCGATGTGGGCCAGCCTTGAATACAAAGAAGGAAAGACATGACTGTTTGGGAAGGCTGTCTCTTTGGATTCATTGAGAACAGTGGGTCCCACAAATGTCGCCTATGTTCCTCGTGACTTATGGTGTGGGACAGTGGAAATGGTCACTGGCGCGCAAAGGGAGGCAAAACAGATGGTGAGAAAGTAATGATGTGGAAAAGAAAGCTACAAAAGTATGCGAAATACAAGCCCTAACCAGAGTAACCAACGTGTGGGCTTGACATAAAAGGTGGGACCAGGTGAACTGGGAGCAACCACAAATGGTTTTAAGTGAGGTGGTCGCCGAGGCTCCTTTCATCGCTCATCAAGGTAGAGTACACAGTTAATATCGATTCAAAGTAAAGTCCATAGAGGCCACTATTCGTGGAAGCGAAGGGGCAGGAGCTCTGGATAGGCTGTCTCCAACGTGTCTGTTTGAGTTGGGCCGAAGTCTGAATGAGGCTCTACCACTCGACTTTGGCATATTTTTCATATCATGAATTATATCATCACGAAGTTCATATTATAATCTTTATTCCTGTCTCAGAATCGTCTCATCATCCAGACCCTAAAGGCTACCCAATCACTAGATGTTGGAACAAGCTCAGCATTTGTTTCACACACCACGCAATCTCGGAACTTGACGAGTACGCTAGAAGAACACAAGTGTGGTGCGTGGCCGCGGCTGAACATCAAATACCGGTGATATCGACATGGCTACTGCATATCGTGGCAAGTAGAGGATTAGATAGGGTAAGACTTAGCGAATGATCCAAAGTGCTGACCCGAGGGAGTGGTTGGGCGGGCGGGTACACTAGACAACAGCGCCATCCAGGGGTACCACGAGGCCGGAAGGGAGCGCCGAACGGGAGTGGCATTCATCACCCACCAAGATCACTCATCATCATGGGCCCATCAGAAAGCCGCTGACCGACAATTCATCAATTCATCGTACCATCCGATGACCTTCGGAGCGTAACCCGGCAGCAAATATTGGTGATGGGAATTTTTGTTGTCCCAGCGGAGAAGGGGGAAGTCGTCGACCGATCTAGAACGCCTCCTTGCAGCACGCTTGCATGTGGTGTGCATGAGACACCCTTGACTGTCGCCAATCTGGTCAGGGCAAATGCCAACCGGAGCTCTGGCCGATGCGGGGAAGCAGCAGAAGCAGCAGAGACCAGATGACAGCTGAACGAACCCCTTGGCGCGCGTGCCATTCCCCGTCGCATGTCCGCGAGGTCCCAGTCCCGCGGAATTCAGCGCCACCAGCAACGACAAGCAACGACAAGCAACGGCATGACCGCCAGCGCCAAGTCCAGGGCTGGCCAATCGTATCGCTGACACCTTACGGAGATGTAGGTTTCGGTACTGCATCGAAGACAGGAACAGGTACCTCCTCCGCCTGCATCACTGACAGCCCTTCGCCATCAGAACCGACATCTACTACCATCAATATGGCACTTTTCGGCTCGGTCTGTGGGGGGGGGGGAGAATGGAACATGTTTGTTGATGTCCTTTCTCAGTTTTCATCTTTAAAAGGGAGGGGGGCTCCCCACTTTGTTGGATCCCCTCTTATCATTGATGCCGGTTGACGATCTTCACCAATCCTCTGCAACACTGCGTCATAAGCCAGGGGTGAATTGTACCACCGACGTACCTCTGGCCCCCTTCTACGTCACGGTCCCTTAAGCGATATCAACAACACCAGCACCACACAAATAGTGGTGATGGAACACAACGAGCTTTCAACTTCATCTTCCACTTCATCAAACAACAGACAGCTGGCCGCAAACATGGAGGTAATTTGCTCCCGCGGGCTCTTTTAGCCAGCGAATGGGTTGGCAGGGCTATTCGCCGTGTTTTGGGAACAGAGTCTGACTTGTCTCGTAACCAGGCTCCAATGTATCAAACATATCCCCAGGACGCCTTTGCCTGTGGCCAGTGGTCCAACAGGCCAAGCTTCCCCCCGACGTTTCCAGCATCGAATCCCGCCGCACAGTTCGACGGCATGTGGCACGATGAACTACAGCACCCGATGACAACCTACGACATGCCAACAATGTTCCAAACATCCGATGACGTCGTCTGGCCCATGCAAGAGCAGCCTGCTGGAGGCTTCTCCCAGCCGTCATCCGCATCTCCCGTTGGATATCAAGGACAAGACGCAGAGTGGAGCTCGATACCATCACAAGACACCGGCTACGCTTCAGGAACCTGGATGTCAAACGAACAGATCCAACCGGTGCCGTCTCCCCTGTCAGAAGCCCCGTCATTTAACAACTACACCTTCAACCACAAGACACCCAGCGACTACGAACCTCACTCGGCCACCTCCACCGCCCCTTTGACATCCCAGAGCTCCTTTGACACTCGGGAGTCGGCCTCGCCCGCCGCTAGCACCGCAGCCCCAGTTTCAAAACCTAAAGGCAAAGGCAAAGGAAAGGCCGCCGTCACCAAACCCTCCAAGAAAGGCACAGAAGCCTCCTCCAAATCCCGGGGAACAAAGAGAAAATCTCCCGCTCCGTCCACGAAATCCACCTCAAGTTACAACAGCAAGCCACCACCACCATTTCTGGGCATCTTTCCTCCCGATGTCGACCCCCGGGAGGCTTCAGCCAAGGTGCAACGCGAAGCATGGGAGAGGTGCAAGAACGAGGCCATGGTCATGTCGCAAAGACGGCTCCTGCTATTGGACCACGAGCGTGGTGCATTAGAGCGGGAGACACAGAAATTGCAAGACAACCTTGCCTTGATGAGAGAAGCAGCTGCGAGGGAACACGGGCAACTGAAGGAAGCTGTGAAGAAGGCCGAGAGGTTGAATGCGAGGGGGTATTACTGAGGGCCTCTTTGTGTTCGAACACTGTATTACTATATAATTATCACGGAACACCAGTAACGAGGACATGAATGATGATCAGACATGAAAGAATAACGAGCCACCTTTGGACACCGGAATAAGTATTGCAAACTTGTAGTGACAACACCAAGACCAGAGACAGCCAAACAGAAAGTGATGATGTAACCACTTGTGCCAAGACAAAACGTCAAGAAGATCGGCAGCAGGGGTCATCCGTGTAAGTGACCAGCAGTCTACCGAGTGACCCAGCGTTCTGGGTCGAGCTGGGACCTGGGAGCTGTTCCCGGTTGACGCTGTCGTGATGGGGTGGGCGTCTTCCGCCAGGAGTTTGGTCTTGGCAGGGGAGCGAGAGGCATGCCTTCGGGCGTGGCGTCGAGGGCTGTACATACACTACCACTGCCGTTCAGCTGCCGGGCTTCCCCACGTGGGAACAGGTTCTGAGGAATTGGTCTATGCTTTCCAGCTGTGTGGCGGTGGTAGCTAGGAGTTGAGGATAGGATCGGATGGTAACTATAGAGTAGGTCAGGGGTATCGAGATATTCGCGATGGCGTGGTCTTGACGTGGCTCACAATCATGGACTTTTACCTACCTTAGTTGTTGGCAAGGAGCTCATCATGACAGCCTCATTTCCCCCACGAGCCATCAGGCTTAACCAGTCACGCCAGTTATCCGCGCCATGTCCCAGTTGTTCGGTACGGGTGACTGTCCGTGCTGCCATCATGTATAGACTTTTGCGGAATGCCGCCAGAACCACGCGCGATCCCATAGCTCCATGCATCCATGTCCCCCCAGCACGAGGTGGCTTGCAACCCCTTCCCCCAGATCTCGTACGCAGACCAATAGCCATCCCTCCCTTCTCCCCAATTCCCACGAGACAGGTGAAGAAGCAGCGCGACATCCCCAAATGTACTGTACCTCCCCCCGGGTTTCCCCTTCGGGTTTTTGGTCCCCCACATCTCTGCGAGACACTGTCTCTGCAACTCCGGGTCGTCCAATGAACCGCAGCCCGTAGGAATCGGACATCTGCCCGATAGTGGGGCAGTAAACATGCCTGCGGCAGGGCTATCCGGGGCCCCGAACGGTCCCGACACTCTGTGCGCATGCAGCCCAGTGGCTCAGGTGGCTGGTTGGGGATCTTGGCTTCGTTTTTTCGCGATAGGTGCTGCGATTATGCTGCGGCTGCATCGATAACATGAGCAGGATATTCCCCATCGGCAAGGGGATATTGAAGTTTTGGGCGGAAAAGTGTCGATGTCTCACTTTGCGTGTCGTAGTAAGTAGTATACACTGCAGGCTGTCAGTCTATTTCGGAACTTCATGATCTTCCTGATGGCGCCTGCAATAGGAATTCGCGATGCCCCCTTGAATGAAGGGTTGGGGTTAATGATGACCGGAATCAGCCCGACCGGCAATGAACGACATGTTAGGTATCCATGAGATAGAAATCATACCTACCTACCTACGCTGCTTGAGATGTAGGGCGTGTCTTGAACATTCAAAGCGTTGGGGAGGGACATTTCAATTATCTCTTTGTTGCCAACCAAGCACGGGACTCAAACAAATCAGGACTGGAAACAGACGGGGCATGGAGATGTGGATCGGAAGTTGTAGGGGCGTTAGAAAACTGAAGATAGGTAAGGTAGATAATGCCGAGAAGGCCATTTCATGGCAATGTTCGGGGTATAGAAGTGATGGCCCGCTGAGTTGATAGTGCTCGCAGAGCAAGCTTGCTCCTACCTAGCCGGTCAACGCTCACCCGCAACAAAAACGTAGCGCTCCAGTGGGTATCGACCTTCGTGCTTTCAAGTTTTTGCCTGGCCCACCAATAATTCCGCTTTCTTCGGTCCACACTTTCCCTCTACTTACCTACCCACTCCATCATCTTCCTGCAGTCGGCCAAGTCTTGTTTGCCCGTTGCTCTACCTCACATTTCCCCGTCGACCTTCCACCTCTGACCCCCAAACATCGACCTATTACAACCTTTATTGCTTTACAAAAGAGGTCGAGATGTCGGGGAGAACTGCTGAAACCCCTCTCAGCGAGTTTGGAAGTCGGAGTGACCGCCACCGCAACGACATGGACCAGTCGAATGGACAGAGTCCAGAGCCACTGGAGTGAACAATTCAAATCTTCCCTGGCTCCACGACCAGTTTTCCCATTCCCGAAGTCGGCATCCAAGTTCAGATGCCCCCTCTGGTAAATAATATGACTTCATCGGCTGTTGGCCGTGGTCGGGTCCCGCCAACGGTGAAGATCATTGCCTTTCCATCGCCACTACTGCCGCACCTCGCCCACCCCAAGAAGAATGGAGAAGCGCTCCACAAGTCCAACTCCCCACTCTCGCCAGGGGAGATTCGTCCCAAGCCAGATATACAGTCGCCAACCCAGGCGACCAGGGGTTGACCGGTATCACTCGTGTCACGAAACGCGGAGTGAGGGGTGGTTTTCGCATCAATCAAGCTCGGTGCCCGTCTCCACAGGAAGGCCCGCAGGTGTTGAGAGTATGGGCCGTCACCAGCAACCATCACGATCGAGAGAGCGGAGCCCAGCTCATGGTGGTTTTCGGGATGATCGCGCTCCGCACCACAGCCAGAGTCCCTATGAACCTGTCATGTCGAAAGAGCCTCCTTATGGTGATTCGTATGGAGCAGGCTTTCTTGAGCAAAGAATTGCCAGCAAGCAGAGGACAGTTGGGAACGAGGAACGTCGATCTCAACAACCTCGAAAGCACCGCCAAGGCTCTACCATGGAGCGTCCTCACCGCCAAAAAGCCCGAATCTCGCACCAGGCTTCGGTTTGCTAGGCTCGCGTTAAAAGAGCTCGAGTTTCAAGCTGATAAGTTGTCCGGGGCCCAACCAGGCTCTACCAAGGAATGGGGACCGGTTATATCTGATGCTCAGCCGCCAATACCTCCGCCCCACCACTATACCACCCAAGGGCCGCCTCCGAGGGGTATACCAGGCGGGCCCCGCAGGCAGGATCGATCGAGGGGAGCTACCAGAGCTCAGAGATATAGGTTCTTCACTGAGCAGAGTCGGGATGCTGGGCAGGCTGAGGTCATGCCTTCTGTCGAGGGCAGAGAGGAGTCCACATTTGAGCAGTTGGAAAAGAATGATATGTTGCTTCAGGCGAGAAACAAGCAGGACATGGTTTTGTTTGGGGCGCATGACATGAGAAATGTTTTTGATATGGATCGTGAGAAGAGAAGACCGGAAAATTGGGAGGAGGATATCAATGATTTGCCATACTAGAAGGGTTTGGTGCCATGTTGTCGGATGTTTTGTTGGAAGAGTAATGATATGTTGGTTTGGAGGCTGTGGGAACGCTTTGCAAGGAGAAGCTCTCTGTAAACAATGGGCTTTGGAAGGTACCGCCGCATTCTTATTTCGTCCAATGTCCCAATAAGTGCCAAGGCTGTCACTGATAACATAGAGTATAAAAGGAGTAGCCGAATAGCGGGTGAACATCATTTCATGTATGTGATTTTGCTCACTTGTGTCACTGAGTGCATCTGGTTTTGAAGACGTAAGTAGTGTAAGTTTTCCTTAGGTCTTTTTCATAAAAGAAACGCCAAAGCCAACGCAGGAGACACTAAACAGTAGACGTGCCCACTGTAAAAAGATAAAGGAAAAAACGTTCGAGGTTTCGTATCGAAGAGGCTTGGAGAGCCGCAAACGGATGGTGCTTCTGGAAGTCCTCAACCAAGAAAGCCCCCTTTCACAAGATATTGAAATCCATTGCCCGTATGAAGACGTGATAGCAAATGTTCAACGAAAGAAGTAACCATCCGGACAAGCACTCTTCGCCGAGTAATCAGTCCCGCTTTCGGCTTTCAGGTCTACTTTTATCTGAGCAACTCCATTGAAGAGGCCTGACAATGCAGGAATTCGGGAGCCCTAATGACATCGTAGACCCGTTTACCCGGGCACCAGGCTATAAACTACTCTATTGTTTTCCTTTTTATATTCTTTCATAATACTGCTTTGCCCTCCGCAGTCTTCTTTCTTCGACATTCGAAAAGACAACCTCCTACCTCTGGCAAACAAGCAAACAAGGGCAACATGAACAAACAACAATTCCAAGGCCACGCCTCTGGCAATATCTCTGGCCCCGGCCCTACCTTTACTCGCCCTCCTCCCACATCCCCAAAGGCCATATCCAGGTCTAACCGGAACCGGTCCATCAACGGCACCGGCACCAACATCACCACCGACTTGAACACCCCTCCGGTCTTCAGCCACCCGCCCCCCGCCGCTCCAAGGGCCATGTTAAACCTCGGTCGAGATCCCCCCATTGCCCCGCTCGACACCAAGATCACCATCCTGAAGGACGCCCTCTTGCAAGAACAAAGGTGCCTGAGAATCCTCAGGAGCAATATTCGTCGACTGCCGCCCTGGATCCTTCGGCGCAAGGAAGAAGAGTGTCTCGGCCGTATCGACCGCGACGAGGCCAGGTTGATGGAGTTGCAGAAAGAAGCAAGGTTGAGGGGTTTGGAGTCTGAGGCCATCCACAACACTAGACAGGGCGGTGCTGCAAGCTCCCGCGATGGTAATTTCGAGGGTGATTCCGGATGGGTAGGTCATCGCGTTATGACTGAGAGGCTTCGGTCTCTGGGCCCGCGTGTTGAGGAAGAGCAAGAGGAGAAGACCGCTGAGATGGATAGAAAGTACAGCCGGGTGCTCCGTAGGATGGAGAGGTGGGACGCGAAGTGGGAGAGGGAGGACAGGAAGGAGAGAAGGCGTCAGGAGGCTGAGAGGGAGTTCTTCAAGAGATTTGAGTATTGAAGCCGGAAGAGAGGGGGTGCCATTCGGGGTGTTGGAAATTGGGGAACTGGTAGTGGAGCACCTTAACTGGTAGTTATACATCCAATGTTTTCAAGAGGAACCGAAAGTCAAGATACCTAAGGTTGTATGTCGTGATAAAATTTGATTATGCAACTTTGTCATTGCCATGCTGAGATGAATTTTCACCGCCGGCGAGCGAGCTGAAGTGGTTTACAAGCAATGACTATGAGCACGTTCGTGAGCATGTGTGGTCCGTTGGCGTGGGCTCGAATCACCAGGCAATATATCATCAAAATCGAGGAGGAAAGCGCTGTATTGTTAAGAAGAAGAATCATCCTCCAAAGCTCAGCAAAGCCTATAAAACACCGTCCTCCACCATTCCCCACTTATCGTCCCACACATGCTTCCGCCTCCCCACGCACCAAACTGGTTTACAAGCCATGTTCACCTGCATTTTCGCAAGCTTTTTTGCCGGTTCCTCGCGCGCCGAAGTCGTCCCAGCTATCGCGATTTCGGCTTTCCTTCACACGTTTGAGAGCGTTTGAGACTGAAGATCAGGAATTCACCTCGGTTAACAGCCAGTCAGAGAACCCCTCCCCAGCACGTTCGATAACGAGGAGGCACAAGTGGTTGTGGTCCGTTAGTTGGGTCTTATTACGCACGATCATCCATCTTCTAATAACAATTTCACATGTCTCAGCGCTGTCCCAGGCCACTTGGTATTGGAAGGGCGTAGCACTGAAAGAAGTATAAAAGGCTTGATTGGGCACCTTTTGGCGTCGTGCCACCTGGGGTTGTGCCAAACAGTGTGGTCTCGCACTGCACTTGTCAAGTCTCTCCAATCGGCTAAGAAATTCATCATCTTTTGCCCTCCAATGGTCAAAGGACAAATGCTCAGCTTTCATCTCTCTCACGAAGAACTTGCAATTTCTAACGTTGTCAGCATTCTTTGTCAATACTGGCGGTCCCAACACTTCGTCATGGAGGGGCTATGGATGACGGCGATTACATAACAACCTCTGGGGATGTAATACCGGTCTCCAAGACCTGAGGAACGATTCCGGGCTCTTCGAATAACACGGTCAGGAAACGGGCAGGAAGAACTCGCATACAACGACATCGAGCTCCGCGCCTTGCAAAGCTACTTCTCCGACGATGTTTCAGCAACGGCCCCGGACGCTAATACCCCTATTCTGAGACTCGTTCGTATCCCAATGAATACAGTAGGACATGTATCGCTCTCTAGTTATCAAGATCTCCAGCATATTCTATTCCGATCAATCTTCCTGACCATTTCAATGTCCAGCCCGAGGATTTTGAGGACCGGAAACCGCCCCTAACAATTAGCAAGCCCGTCTCGCTCAGACTTCTTGACTGCCTGGAATTCTTCACAGGGGAATTTTGCTCCGCACTCTCACTGCCATTCGTCCTAGCTGTCTACACATATTCATGGATAGAGGAGTACTTGGTCAACAGTCTTCACAGGGTCCGGCATGTTATCCAACTTACCGGCCATGGCGACTCGGTGCATAAACCTGACCTTGAAACGTCCATGGATGGGCAAAACCCAATGGCTACAGCACATAAAATGGGGGCGACGCACAAAATCATCATCAAAACGCTTCCAAGCACGTGGAAATTGTGTTGACTCTGCTTGATCACCTTGTACAGCAAGGTGCAACAGGCCCCAGGGATAAGACGAGCCTCAGTGTCCTTTCAGCAGTGGTGCTTCTTCGTCGCCAGGTAGAGAGCGCGGGAAAGCAGTGCCAGTATCTCGACAACCGCAGTTGAAACCAGTCAGAAGTGGTGAGTGAACCCAGCAGTCAACCGCTAGGACATACCAACTGAGATGAAACTAACCTCTTCTATTTGTCTCGGCCCAGCTCTTCGCCTCCCTCACCCATGAAGACTCAGCATCCAACATGAAGATCGCCGATGCCAGCAGAGCGCTCGCCGAAGCGGCCAGTAGGGACGCCTCGTCGATGAAAACAGTTGCCATTGTGACCATGGCTTTTCTTCCGGCAACGTTTCTCGCCGCCTTGTTTTCGATTCCGTCGTTGGGATGGGACGAGCCAGACAAGTTCTAGGTGTATTGGGCATGTGTCGTTCCAACCACCATTGTCACTTTTACCTTGTGGGCAGGGATCACTCAGCGTGGGCAGATACTTAAGTTGATGAGGTCCAGACGAGACAGAGATCCAGAAAAGGCAGAGGCCATGAAGTCCAGTACACAGGCTTCGGTGGCATTCTTGCGCCTCAGCCGCTCTGTTCTCCGACTTGACAGGCTCAGTACCTGGCATCTGAACGTCTTGCGTCGCAACCTGACTTTGTTTTTTGGTTTGATCACAACTCCATCAGGTACTGATTCATAACCTACATAACCAAGTCTAACTGAGACCGCAGTGAACAGAAGCGGTCGTTCCTTAATTATCGACCTCAAGCCACGTCTCCCATGCTTGGCTCAATGTCTGGCAATCGTGCCTGGGCTATTCTCTGTGTGGCTTGCAGACAGTCTGACACTGCCATGAGAGGGTAAACAGCCGTCGGCAGCTCTCCTCGAATAAGAACGGATGCTTGGGTGACTCGTCATGAGTTCTGGTGTAACGTCTTCGGAGTTAGAGGCGGCTGAAGGCCAGCTCCCACACCAAACCGCTTAAGCAGGCCAACCAGCATACGACAATCATTTGTGACTGGAGGATAGGTGCCAGCAACGTAAAGGGCTTCATGTGAGGCGCTGGACGCCAGCCTTGATGTGCAACGCGAGCTGGAGGCCTAGGCATGTAGATAGTGGGTAGTGCATTGGATAGGCTGGGGTTCCAAGCACTGACGATGTTTGGCGTGTATATATTGTGTGATTCCCTTTTCTCCTATCGTCGATCTGGAGCAGAGGTTCAAGCCTAACCTAACAGTTTGAAACCACATACCCTTCATCTTTCTTTCTTTACTTACTTTTCTTTCGGCAACCTGTGTGACATTCGTTAATATCAAACACTTGAAGACATGTAGGAAAGCTATGACGTCCACCACTGCTCTACTCAGCTAACTTTGTCCAAGGCATCTAGCAATCCCCAAATTAGCCTCCCTGGCCACCATCCTCGCACTGACAGGGCAGATCAGTGCGAGAGTCACCATCTCTCCTCCACAGAACTCAACATGCGAACCCCTCTTTGGCAAAATAGAGGCCACAAACGGCGGCCGGAAGATCGGGGTTGTCATCGATAGGTCCGGTTCAATGGAGGACACCGACCCGAGCAACCTCCGTCTCCAAGCCGCCAAGCTCCTCGTCGGAAAGCTGATTCCATCCTCCGGCACAACCACCGGTCAAACCGCCGACCAAGTCACCATCGTCCAGTTCAACGAGACAGCCGAGGTCCTCTACCCCCTCGGTGACCCCAGCGGTGCAGGAGCCACAATCGACGGCATCCCCGCCAACGGCGGGACCTTCATCGGCGGCGGCATCTCCGCCGCCGTCGACGAACTTACAAGAAGCGGCAACAAGCCCGACGCCGCCGGCATCTTCGTCCTCACCGACGGAGCCGACGACCCCCCCTCCCTCATCTCAGACACAATCGACTCCATCAACCGCGCCCAACAAGCCGGCATCCGCGTGTCCTTCGGCTTCCTCTCCGTCGACGCGGAGGAGCAAGACTCCCGCATCACCTCCGCCATCCTCAGCTCGGGCGGCACCTTCACAACAGTAAACACAGCAGAAGACACCTCCAAGCTTGTCGCCCAAGCCCTCCTCAACGGGCTAGTCGGACCCCCGCAGACAGGCAGCGTTCCCCTGTTACCTGGTCTCAAAACAGCGGGGATGCTCTCCCAGACAAGCCTCACCACCTTTTCCTACGCTGCCCAGAGCGGCGAGGCGTTCAATGTCACTGTCACAGCCATCGACAATATCCCCCTCAAGGCCACGTTGAAGCAAGCGGGTCAGACGAGTGAGATCAAATCTGCTGTCACAGACACCTCAACTGGGATCGCGCTGCTGGAGTACACCACGTTCTCGACTGGGAATTACACCATTGAAGTCTCGTCGGCTGGTGGGTCAAAGTCGGGGCTCTTTGCGGTGCAGATTGGGAGCTCGCTTGACCCGTGCAAGCCGTCAAACTCGACGGTGCCGCTTCCTTCTGGCACCGGGGCGATTCCTTCCCCCACTGCTTCGACTGTTTTCACTGCTGGGGCTGTGCCCATGGGTGGTAATGCGGCTTTGCAGATGGGGGTTGGGTTGTCTTTGATGGCGGCTTTTCTTGAGATGTTTTTGAGTGGATAATTGATAGGGTAGCTTGGTGTGATGGCTTACATGTCTGGATCTGTGAGGATGGGTTCACATGTTTCAAATAAGTTGAGGTTGTTCAAAAGAATCCTTGTTCAGCACGTTAGGTAGATGAAGAAATTCAGGAACTCCAAGATTTCTATCAAAACCCAAAGAGCGGTAAGGCAGCATTTGCAGGGGTCATCAACACAACCCCTTGAGAAAGTCAACCCACAACGCCACAGGCCATCAAATCACAAAGCTTTTCCCTCATTTAAACTCCCCATGACAGACATCATCCGAACGCATTCTCATCTCCGCCTCTTCCACAGCATGGTCCCAATTAGCCTGGTACAGGTACCAGAGCTCCACGCTCGAAACACTGCGTGATTCGTTAGTCCAAGCCACTGGGCAGACAAGCTCGACCACATTGGAAAACTTACACTGCTAGGCCAATGGCAATGCCGAACCAGAGCCCCTCCAGTTTCCATCCAAGAACCCATCCAGTCGAGAACGAGATAGGCAGCGCCACGAGATAGTACGAACCCAAGTTGGTGAAGCTACCAATGCTCTGCCTCCCGATACCCCTGAGAAGGCCGTGTGATATTGCTGCCAGGGCGTCAAACAGTTGCAGGACAGCGCATATGGGTAGCACTTCTGACACGATGGCTGCAACCTCTTCGTCATTTGTAAAGAGGTACGGTATCTTGAATCGGAGGCTGCTGAGCAGGGCGAGGTTGAACAGTCCCACCAGACATCCAGCCACGAGTGCCTGTCGAGATGTAAGCTATTGCTCGCTGACGATGCCAAAGGAAAAAAAAAAGAAAAAAAGATGGCACGTACCACTTTTGCGCTGGTCTTCGCAGCGCCACTTAATCTGGCCCCGATAAGGTTTGCCACGCGTGTTGAGGCCGCGATGGAAAGTGGAAAGGGGATGTTGAATGTCGTGGACGTCACCGTGACAACGACGCTCTGTGCGGCAAGATGAGCACTGCCGAATTGACTGGCTGCCAGTGTGAGAACCTCAAAGGCAAAATACTGCGCTTCAACCATGATCATTCCAGGAAGAGCAAGCTTGACCATTGGCCCTATTCAGATTGGTCAGCATGGGAGATTCGTACAAGGCGTGTTTTGGTGACGAGGGACAAGTGGGTCCCCGAAAAGGGGTAAGAAGGTCAAAGTGCCAAGGTTGCTTACCCCAGTTGCTGAAAGCTCGTCGAGTGAGCCCATTCCAGCACTCCATGCCTTCAATGAACCGAACATAGAGGAAAAGCAGGAATGGAAGAAGATTCTGCGTGAAGACGACGGCTGTTGCAGCGCCCGTGAACCCCCATCCCATTTTCCATACAAAGAGCCAGTTGGCAAAGATGTTGACTGAAGCGCCAATGAGAAGAACAAAAGTTGTTGCGTGAAACAGACCCTGAGCCTGCACGAAGCGCTTGCCGCTCTCGAATGCCGCAACGCCAGGTGTCCCGAGAATCAGCACCCGGAGGTACAGTCCCGCCAGCGCAGCTGTCTCGGGCTCCGGAATGATCGAGGCTAGCACGCTTCCTGAAAACCACCACAGGGTAACAATGGGAACTAGCAGCATCCACAACAGATATGTCATTCTCTGAAGCTGCAGTCCGACCAAGTGTTTGTGGCCAGATCCATAGGCTTGGGCACAGAGCGTATCCAGGCAAGTTGAGAGGCCTTGAACTGGGGCGTAGCAGGTGATGTTGGCGGTCATGGTGGCGAGACTGACGGCTCCAAGTTCCAGACGACCAATGCGGCCCACAGTGAAAACACTTGTGACAGTGACCGAGTAGTGTAGAAGGAATGTGATGATCAACGACCTCGAGTATTGTGTGAGAGTTTGGGCTTCGCGCTGCCACGTTGTTTTGAGGACATTGGCAGCTACCGCCGCTTCCCATCGGTTGATCTCTTCGCTCTCGGTCGGGGACGGCGGGTCCAGGTAGAAGTCTTGCAGCAGAGGTGTGCTCTCGAGGGCTTTTGTGGAGGATGCCGAAATGATAGGGCCAACCTCATCGCTCTGAGGTACTTTGGTACTGAACATCCGCCGATACATCTGCCTCCAGGCTGGCTCGGCAAGTCCTCGACGATGCTTAGGAGGGAGGATATGGTTGTCCCGAAGTAGACTCCTCTCGGCATCACGAGAGAGTGCGACATCTGAGCTTGCAGCTGTCTCAGTCGTGATGATGGGTCTCAAGGTGCCATAGGCTACACCACTAGATCTCGGTGCAAAGGATGAGCCTTGGGCGTTGGTCACCTCCAGGGGCTCGGTCTCAAAGTCGACATCATCGTCATAGTCGTGCCCACAGCGGCAGTCGTGGGTTCCGTAGTCATCGCAGCATTCTGCAAGGTCCCTAGCTAGGATTTCTTGCGCAATGGGCGACGAGGATAGGTACGAGTTGGAGACGAATGTTGATGCCTCCAACAAGCGGTCAGGACGGGGCTTGAACTTGATAGGCTGTGCCGGCGACATTGAGAGGAAGCTGGAAATGACTCAGGGGCAGCTTTCTGGGAGGGGTGAAAAAATTGACAAGCACGATGCCCGGGTTGATGAGACCAGAGCCAACCACGCCGACAAGAGCCCAAGACCACCGTGAAGAAAGCCCTAGCACCAAGGCCTGGTGAGAGGCCATGGCACCTTTTTATGCCAAGTAGGCTGGTGCTCGAACTTTTGACAGATACGAGGTTGTCTGTTTCGCCATCGACCGGTGGAAAGCGGTGAGATGGCGGGTCGTGGGTGTGGTGAAAGGGGGTGTGTCGGATGGCGGATGATGCACCATACTGCGGAAAGGAGTGGGCAGCGGGATGGGCGGCACCTTATCTTGCCTGCCACGAACAAGATAGCACAGGAGAGAACCTCGCATGTATAGCAGGTCTCGACGAAGTTCTAGTTCTCAAAAGCTGGCGGAATCCTACATCTAGTCACAAGCCTAGGCCATCTTGATGGTGGGGGGCGACAGGGTAAGGGAGGGTCAGTTGCGTTGCTCACCACGCCTGTGGCAATCATCGATATGCTTCTCCAAAGAACCTTTTGGATCGTGAACGCCATGGTGGGAAAATACCCGCCATGTGTAACTGGATGGTGGTGCAGATCCAACATGGGGGTGCCCCCATGGCGAGATGGTCTGTCGCGGCGGGCAAGTGTGGGAGGTGTGTGTGTGTGTGCGTGATATCGAACGTCGATGCATCGGCACAAGCACCGCCGTTGCGACCCTACTAGACACAGCCATGATGAACCGGGAAATCCGAACGCGTTACTGGTCAGCTCTCAGATGGACAATTGTTGCCGGCCATGAGAGTTTTGTCGAATTGTCGATCCTGTTACATGCAGTATGCAGCACGTCCTTGGGATGGGTGGTATGGCATGCTGCAAGCCTGCAAACGACCATTTTCGGTCGCACTGGGCCTCCTTCCTCGGTGGGACAGAAAAGGATTAAGCCAACACCACCAGCTGTTGTGTGGTTAAGGGACGCGTCTAGAGGCGAAGAGTTCGATAGCGTGCGGTTGTGAAAGAGCAGCCTTCATGAGAGCTATTCCATCCAAAGCACAAGCAGAGCCGCCCTGAGAAATGGTGAGATCGGTTGTCAAACGTCGTCAAACGCCCACCTGGGCACCGGTGTGGCTGGCCACCCTCAATGTAGCCTTCCGTGGGGAACGCGCCTGGCTTTCTCTGGGCACACTTTTGAGGTATGGCCACCCCCAATGGAACTTGGAAGCTTCACACACATCAGGGACGGGTAATTTGCCCACTTGTCGGACTGGAGCTACCTGATCCTTCCATCGAGCTAGCTACCCCTCAGTTTCACACATGGAGCTCTTGTCCCGGGTCTTCGCCGCCGTGCTCCTGGCCCACCTTATTACCGTTCGACACAGGACAATGACAACAAAAGATTGCGAGTAAATACCGCAGGTCCAGCAAGGGAGGCTGAGCATTTGTGACAGGATAATCTGCAAGTGTTACTCGAAGGAATCACGACCGGTCAAGGGGCAATTTCGATCATCTCGAGCTGTACAAGCTGGTGGCTTCTGCACAAGAAACCGGCTTTTTCTTGCCTGCCGTCGGACCCCTCACTTTCCTGCCCCCCGTCCCGGCCACCCTCGCTCCTCTTGCTGCTCCCTTGCTCCCCACCACTGGGAGCTGTCAAGCTGACAATATCCGAAAACCAAGACAAGCGGAACATTTCCATGTGACCCATCCGTTATGCATCTTTTTCAAAACTTTCACATCCTTCTGCTCCCCCAACACCTCCATTCCAAGAAACAGTTGCAACGTTCGCGGGATGTGGAAGAGATTGGTACGTGGGGTTCTTGGTTGCTCATTGTTTCCTGTCCAACCATCCAAGATGCCTTGCAGATGATGGATGCAAAGCTATGCCTGCACACCACCTTCAATTTCACCTTCCGGGAGTTGTGCGGTGTGAGGAAGGTGTCCTAGATTCGTTGTCACCGCTATTTCCTATCAGTACAAAGTTAAAATCGGAAGAGCCTTTTCAACCTTAGCGCCTCTCGGTTCCATTCAAGGGGAAAAGGCCCGAGGGCAGACGATCACCAGCAATGATTGTCATGTTTTAGGATAAAAGGTAGCTGTGCCTTACATAATTCTTAATGGAAGGCTGAAACAGTTCAGGTATCCAATGATGCGCTCAGTGCTCTGATATGTTGACGCCGCCCTATGTTGATTCCATACCTGGAGTAACCCGGCAAGTGATTTTGAAGCGTCAGTTGAACATAATGATATTGGATCCTACCCTATTCATCTGCTCAACTAAGCCTTTATGTTCCTCCACATCCTATCTAATTTCCAACTTGCAATTGGCTTTACACAGAGTGCCTGTTAGTCACACAAGGCCTTAGTATTATATGGAATACATACTTTATAACTACAAGAAACTACAATAACTAGTACAATAGACTGAAGACACCCGCGCAATGATACCCATCCCCATAAAGTCCCCACCCTCGTGTTCCTAACCCTACATGTACCGTTCTTTTTAAGACAATGTGCCTACGATATCCCATAACATAGGTAACCCGCTGATGGAACAATATAGACCGCGTCCAAACCACCAACAACCTCCAGCGTCTGTTGCCGGTAGTGTGCTACACAGATCGTTACACTTCGCCATGATATCTGATGCTCCAACATTCTTTCAAGTTTCAATAATTCAGATCCGGCCCTGTCTTCACTTGGCGATAGCCGATGTCCTGCATACGATGCTCAGGACGCCGATGCTCATAGCGACTTGCATGCACCGAATTCTGACGATCCGTACGGCTTGCAAACCCAGAACCTGGAAGAACCATACGACTGCTATGTTCAGAGCCCCGAAGTCGCTGGAAACTTGCATACCCGGATGCTTGACGGGCTTGGTGTTCTTCATGGTCCCGGTGAACGTTTTGATGATGACTACAGTGCATCCCACAGCCATGGTGCTCGGAATCGTGGCGAGAGCCGTGCGATGAGACTGCTTCCCCTTCATGACCGGAACGATCTAGGCCTGGGCCACCGTAGTCCCCAATTCCAGCCACAGCGTACCTAACAACACCTCCCATACCCCGCCAGCGTGCTGTCTCATGATCATGAGTTTCGAATCGGTTCTCTCTCCTCTCCATATCTCTCATGGATCTCTCCTCCTCCTGCTGCCTCCAGTCATCCTCCCCTCTCTTTCGTTTCGCATTCTGCTGGGACCAAATTGAAGATGTCCTTGTTCAGCTTTCCGATCTTGGTGTCGTGGGGGCCCTAGTGCTCTTCTCAACGCTTCCTCATCCTCGGCCAGTTCATGTTGAACAACCGTTATTTCGGATTCCAAATCAGCCTTCTTTCTCTGCAGCTCTTGGAGTGCAGCGGCGGGCTCGGCTTTGGCAACTGCCGAAGTAAGTTGAGGGCGTCTATGAGTATTAACAGCATTGGAAGTGATGCCAAAGCCCAGCAGAGCATCAACAGATGCCTCCCAAACATTTCTCAAGCTTGGACGAGCATCTGCGTTTGTGAACGGCAGCGATGCTCGCGCGGTCCCAGACAGCGAGGGCCCGGGAACGGCTTGGGCGCGCGAGGGGACGGGGACAGCTCGCGGCAGCACGGCGGTGATATTCATGGCAGTTCCGTTCGGAACTAAGCCCACGATCACGCCGGAACGGGCAAGGGTGTTGTCCAGCGGCGAAATCTGGACTTGAATGCCGGTTTATGGGATGAAAACATTAGCAAAGTTCGACTCGAAGTTAATACAAGACAAAATGACCACAAGATCATCAAAGGAACATGACATACCGAGGCTTGGGATGGGGAAGCTAGTTGTTCCACCCAGAATGACCGGGATGGGCCAGTTCAACTGCCCAAAACCCAGGTGCCCGCCACCACCTGGCTGGCCTTGCTTTTCACCACTGGGGATGCTTTGAGTCGACATCTTCGACATCTTTTTTTGGTTCGCCTGTACCTTGCTGTTAGTATAATTTATTCTCAATGGGCGAGAGTATTAACAAACCTCGAGAAAGGAGGGCGAGTGCGCAAAAATGAAGGCGGCGAGGTTGGGTGATGATGTTGTCTTGCTGGAGGAAAGCAAACGCAAAAAAGGCTCGGGAGAGAGAGAGTAAAAGCAGGGCGGAATTGTAGTAGACCAGAAGCATGGACCATCCCCGCCCACAATCTAAAAAATTTCAGTAAACAAACCCTTTTCCTGGTGAAGCTATTAGGAAGGAGCAGCTGCGTGAAGGGGGGTGGTCGGAGCAAGTGTCTGCTCCGTCACCATACCCCATTGCTGTCAACTTGGGCTCGTGACATTTTCCATTTTTTGGGTTTTGTAGAACTGGTGTGCTGGGCTAGACGGGGCTAGGAGCTGCCCTCTAACACACTACAAGACTTGCGATGTAGGCTAGATGGGGCTAAGGGCTGTCCTCCAACACGCCATAAGAGTTGTGATGGTAAATTCAAGAGAGACCCATTTCTTTACCTAGGTAGATCAACAACCAGGCAACAACCAGACAACCAGCACCAAACTACATAACTCAGCACCGTTACATCGACATCTCAACGATATAGGTGAGAGCCTGTTCTATGTCTACATCTTCACGCTGAAACCGATAGTACCAGTCGTCACCGTGGGTTATTTTGACAAGGTGTTCAATGTTGGGTCCCAAACTGAAGAGGAAAAGATGGTTGTCTTCTTCAAGCTATAAATAATGCTTATCCTGCCAAAATTCCAATTTATCTCCCCTACCCACGGCTCCATTCTACCTGCCGTCAACTCTCGTTTTGTAAAACGGCCTTGTTCGTTTGTTTTTTTATTCAAGTCTTCTGTAGGCGGTCAAAGCTTTGTAAGAAAGAAAAAAAAATGACAAAAAAGACTTCTTCTTCAACTGGGGTCGAACCAGTGAAGCGTACATGTCCCAGCAGATCGAGCCTTCGGTCCTGACTCGAGCAACATGCCTCCATCAGTTCACTCTCTGCTGTCCATCATGATCAATTCCTGGAGTTGACGAAGGCACTTCTACGACCACCGCACCCTCTGCACTGCAGATCCACCCACCGCCACCTGCATCCTCACCACTTAAGTATTCAAGATCAAGTTTTTATCTCTTTCTCTACAGCGAAATCATCTTTTCACCTGCCATATAATTTTCTTTTTCCCTTTTCCACCCCTCCCACCCCCAACACCCCCCTTCTTTCCTTCCCACCACAATTTGCACCACCCACGCCCAAAACAAAAGAAAAGATGCGATATTAACCAACAATTTAAAAACGCTCATACAAAAATCACACACACACAACCTCCCTTCAGAAAGGCACCCAACCTCTAGCACTTCCTCCACTCCAAATCCCAATTCTCGGTCAAAGCCTCAAAATACGCCTTCCCATCCCCGTTCAGCGCGCTCCGGAAGTTGACATTCAAAATCCCAATCGACCCGTCGGCACCCGTGCAGGGAGACCAGACCTTGTTCGCGCCCGTGTTGCTCACGAGCGTGACGGCCTGGTCGATGGTCCTGTCCGTGGCCGCGATGTGTCCGCGGACGGTGCCCTGTTTCTATCTGTCAGTGCCTTGCTGCAGGGTGAATAAGAGAGGGGACGTACAGTCTTGGCGGCGTCCTGGCTGAAGAAGACGGTGGTGAAGTAGTCTAAGGATGTGCCCGGGGTGAGGTAGACGTTGCCCTTGACGATGTTGGTCTTGACGGCGACCTGCCACCCCGGGGAGGCGCCGGCGGCTTGGAGATGGGCCTGGCAGTTGAGGGTCTTTGTCGTGCCGGGGAGGGAGGAGGCAAAGTTGGAGAAGGAAAAGGTTGGGTCGGAGAGGCCGCCGGTGTGCTTTGGGTCGCGGACGCAGCCGGGGCCGGAGAAGGTGAGGGAGGTGATGCGGGGGATGGCGGCGGGCGCGGCCGGGGCGGCGGCTGCGTCGGCGTTAACTACCGAGGCGGCGGCGGCGAGGATGGTGAGTGTTGTTGTGAGGAGGCCCATTGTGATGGTTGTGAATCTGAGGAAAAGGTGTGAGGATAGTGGAGATGAAAATCCGGGGTAAGAGAGTGGATATGGAGAGGATTTAAGCTTGTTTGTTGCTTGGATACCTGTAGTGATGATTAGGAGTTGAGCTGTCAAGAAAAAAGACGAGGTCAAAGCCTGTTACTTATATGCGTGCGAACCGGGCCAAGGAAAAAAAAAAGACTATCGTGATGGGTTCTATTGAACTGGCAGGACTACCTGACGATTACGATATTCGCCTTCTCTTGCTGCTTCATCCCGTCTACCGTGTTTTTCGCCATTTTGCCTTTTGCCACACCCCTGGTAGATCACCTTTCTCATCACAAGCATAGCAATCGGCGTGGTTCGCCGAAAGGTCTGGCTGGGTCTCTGTGTGGTCTGGTTGACAGATGGCGAGAGTGTTTTTGGTGGTCCTGGGTGTAGCGGAGCTTTTGCCATTTATCCAAATTGCAACCCGCGAAACCGAGTGCCCGGATTGGCAACAAACTCTGTCTCTTCAAATTAAAACCCAAGTGTGTCCAAAAATAGGAATACCAGGGGGGGAGAAGAGATCAGCAAAAAAACAAATTCGTGGGAGGGAAAAAAAAAGTGGTTTGGCAGTTTCAAACTGTTGTTGCACATGAAATGAAAAAGGTCGGATATCATCCGTGTGTCCAAGACAGGAAGACAGGCCACACAACCTGGAACTTTCTCCTTTGACATGCAACCAAATGCATGTGGGTTAATCTACAAGTGATATATATCGGTATATTACCCCAGCGTGTCAACCAGCCACCCCGTTGTCGCCATGTCGCGCCACCCAGGGACACACACTTCAACTCAATGCTGCCTCTACCACACTTTGTTGCTCGTCTGGGCCCTCTTGGGTGTCGCTTTGTCGCCGTTTGTTCCTGGCTGGGCCTCTCGTCGACGTTCGGGATATGCGGGCGTGGCGTTGCAAGCAAAAAACGGGAAAGATGCAGCAAGAGAAGAAAGGAACGCGGAGGTGGTTTCCGCAACCTTTAATTGTTCCAATGCGACGTCATCTCTCTCATCGGGCCAGTGCTTGATGTGCTTGGCTCTACTTCGCCGATCTGTTCTGGCCCTTGTCACTGTCAGTAGTAGTAGTAAAGTAGGGAACATATCTGTCGAGAAATGCGTACACGTAAGGAGGGTCCCGGCCGAGGAACAAAGATTTAAACTACCCTCTACTGACCTGCAGTTGGTCCCCAATATCTGGGATGAATTGGTCGCGACGTTCCCGGTGTGATTGCATGCGACAGGTTGATAGTAGTTGATAAATTTGATCCTATTTATGGCAGCTCACGCTATGTCCAACTCAAAAATAGGGGACCCGGTGCGCCGTTGAAGCAGCTCATGGTCCCTGAAGAGCCGGAGACTCTCTCAAGAAATCGGCCGTGATGATGCCGACTCAACTCTCGGAAGACCTTCGAGCTCTTGGCCCTCGCCTTCCCCCCACCGGATGCTACTCGCCTCGCCAGTGCCCTCTTCCTCTGAGGCTGCCATTCCAGCTCCAGCCCATTACCACACTAGCCGCATGCCCAGAACACATTTCGTCTGGCACACTCAACTCCGGCTATTCAAGTCCTCCTCCCTTCTGGTCAAACGCGTTCGCAGGTACGTGCAAGAGAACGCCGATATGCGCAGCAGATCGAGGGTATCATCTTTCTTTCTTTGCGCCGACAATGATGCGAGTAAACGAACAGCCCAACTCCGACAAACTCGCTCGCTTTCTCCATAACCCAAACACCGCGGCGGGAAGAATGCGTCTCAGGGACCTCGGTATGCATGAGAGCCAGGGACAAGAGGCGGAACGAGGTTGATGTTCCTTGAACGCCTGTGTCTCCGCTTGTGTGGCTCAAACCTTCCCCGGCATCGCTTCTCCCGTCTTCAAAGACTCAAACCCCAGTACCGACCGTAACGCCTCAAGCAGCGCCTGAAAAGCTAAGCTTCAGATCTCCAACTCCTTTGGTGTAAAAAACAACAATATCGCAGCGTCATTATTCACCTACTGGACCTTGTTGATGGCGGCAGTCGTAGGTGTTTGAACAGTGCGCTGGAACTCCCCGCTAGAGTTGCTGCTCTTGCCGCCGCGATCCTCGACGATTGTGCCGCTGCGAACGGCAAAAAGATTGCCCTCCTCCAGAGAGCGCTCTGGCTGCTGATAGTAGACCCCGTCGACAGCAACAGGATCCTCTCCCAAGAGGTGCATGTAGAAGTAAAAAAAGCCGCAGAAGAAAAAGCCACCGAGCATGTTTCCGAGAGTTGTGGGAATAATGCCTGGACGATTCGGGTTAGCACCTTGCAAGACAAACACCCAGGTAAGAAAAGGAAGAGAAGCATACCCTTCCATATGTAAAGTCCAACGCTAATACCAGGGGCTCCCAGGAAGATGCCGATGGGGATGAAGAACATGTTGGCGACAACGTGCTCCAGTCCCATGGTGACGAAAGCGAAGATGGGCCACCACATGCCCGCGACCTTGGACGTCACATCCTTAGCCTGGAGACCGAGATAGCAAGAGAGGCAGACCAGCCAGTTACAACCGATAGCGCGCAGGAAGATTTGATGCCATTGGGGAGTGATCTGCTTGAGCTGAGCAGTGGCAATAGCCTGCTGCTTGAAGATCTCATTGTCGAAAACGCCACCATCTAGAAAGAAGCACACTAGTTAACACGAGTTCGAACAACACAAGATCAAAGAGATGGAACCTACAGCCAACAATGATGGCCATTACGAACAACGCGCCAGCCATGTTGCCCCAGAAGCAAAGGAACCAGTGCATGAGCAGGTTCTTGAGCGGCAGCCTCCTGTGCATCCAAGCAATGCCAGTAATCATGTTGGAACCAGTGAAGAGTTCAGAGCCCGAGATCAAGATCATGACGATGCCGCTGGGGAAGATCAAGCCACTGATCATTCTGATCAGACCGGGGGCGTTTTCCTGGAACCATGGGGCGGCAGTGGCGATGACGGCCGAGGCGGAGGTGAAGCTGACGAGACAGCCGGCCATGAAGGCAGAGAAGAAGATCTTGTCGGGTCGTGCTCTTCCTCTCATGGCACCAATCCGAGACATCAACTCGGCTGTCTCCTTTGGCGTGTAGGCCGCCATGTTGGCCATGTTGTCGACGTGGACGTGTGTGACAGCCATCTCGTCGGTTGGGAGTGATGCAGTGACACCGGTATGGATGGTGTTGATGGACTGGTTAGGTGTCCAAACCGTTGAGGGTATGATGACGGGCCGGGGAGAAGGGCTGTCGTTCCAAGTTGAGGTGACAGGACAGCTTAAGAGGGTTGATAGAGGGGCGGAGGTGTTCGGACGAAGAACGGTGATCGGGGCGGCTTGGTGACTTTAAGAAGAAGAAGGAACAAGCGGAACACACCCCGCAACAGTCGGCCACTATGGAATACGCTTCTGTGGAGTGTGCTGAAGGCTCGAGATCCCCGTCACCTTGGCAAAGTGGAAGACGGAATTGGGTGGGTGGATGACCAGGCCATGGGCATCGAGCGTCTTGGTTGGGACCGGTGTTCCAAGACCTGCGAGCATCTGGGGCGGCCCATTTTTGACAGTTCACAGGTCGCCAAGTTCCCCCAGTCTAGTGGAAGTTAAGGTGTTTATAGCAGAGTGGCACTGGTGGGCACTCTCAATGGGATGCTTTTTCATCCGAGGGCTTCAGTCTCAACGTTCGGCTGTCAAAGATCAGTCTCAAATGCTCTCAACAGCCATGAATCAGGCGAGAGGAAGAGCCTCACAGGGGACCCACGACGAAATTGCCGGAGGGTGGGTACAGCATTAGACTCTGGCCGATTCATCAACTAGGGATCCTCGATCTTTGTGGCCACGATGGCTCAAAGCCAAACCCCGAACCAAACATCTTCCCATCGTCCGTCCGTCTACCCCGGCGATGCAGCCCTGTACCTGCAGGACATGGTCAGCCACCGATCCGCTTGCCAACAGGAGTTCGGGAACCTCATGGACCGACGGAGAGCTGCTCCTGCGGGCGGTGTGGGGGTGTTCGCGATGCGAAGCTGAGTGGGTGGACTGGCAAGTCTGGGATGACGTCTTGCCTGCTTCCATCTCTCCTCTAGGACGGCGCGCCGACCCGCCAAACCTTATGCCTTGAGCCTGTTTTCCTCAGCATTGGCAGCAACCTTAATGATGGATTCCGTGGTTCCCTCCTGACTCGGCCGGTGTTGATCCTCTCCGTCAAGTTCTCATTGCTGTTTTCTTGGACAAATCCTTTGCTGGGCGGATTATTGTCCATCTCACCGTCGCCCAAATCAAGACAAGCGCAGTCGCCGGTCTCGCAGAAATGTCCACCCTCATCTCATCGACATCGATATTCGAAACCGAAATATCCCCGCGACGGTGCCCCGGTTGTAACCGTGTTGAGGAGGTTGTGGAGACGACATTTTCCTCAGCAGTTTAAGAATTTTCTTCCAGTGTTTTGCTCCCAGGGTAGGGGTGCATGGAACCACGACCCTGGCTCAGACGTCTCGCATCTTCAGGGGTCTTGTCAACAAATGGTTTTTGACCCAGGCATTCCCAGAAACCTCACCCTCCTGCTTGTTGAACAAGCAGCACCCTTCAATCAACTCGTTTCGCATCAATTTACGGTGCTCGACTTTGGCCTCGCTTTTTGACGGTCCCGATGGGCTTCTTTGAAGCAACTCTTGGAAACCCAGGTAACCTGCGCACCCCATCCAGAAAGCCATCTCAACGCCGTTGAATCTAACAAAAAGCCACCAAACCACCATCCGACTCAAGAACAATCTGGCTCTTATCTCCCGTCGTCCACGCCAGCACAGTAAGCCCTATACGTTCTAGGTCCAAGGAGCCTCCCGCTGCCAACCCGCCGAGCCTCAATTCAACTTCCAGATCAGGGCAGGCCTTGGGCCAAGAGAAAAAAGCCTTTCATCCATGTCCAATCACCCACCGCTCAAACTTCGGCATCACACCACCAACAAGCCTCCCACCCAGACCACCAGCCAAGAAGTTTGAAGAAAGCGACCCTTTTGCCAAACCTCCGAACGGAATCTCGGGCTTGGAAGCGGCAGAGTCGTCAACAAACTGAGCTAAAGCCCGGCGAAGGCCGCCGGAAAACATCATGCTCAAAGCCACGCAATCCCCGTCGCCCAGCCCGAACGCTCTGCTTGGCAAAAGCTTAAACTTCAAGTTCTGGCCAGACCTCTTCTTTTTTTCCCAAGCAGGCCGGTCGTTTGGAAGGCGCTAGTAGTATCCCGCTCTGTTTGTTGGACCTGGTAGGTAGGCGAGGTAAGCTTCGTTTTCTGTCGCTACCGGGTTATGAGGTTGGGAAAAAGACCGGTGAGGTGATGGGCCAGAACTTTTCATGTCGTCGCGTGTCATTCAAAACAGCGGTGGTTTGTTGCTCGCTTGTTTGGTGTCCAGCGCAAAATATCAGCCCAATAAAAATGAGGCGACGTTGTGTCACGGATAGGGCTCTTCAGCTCTGGACGCTCAAAATCCGCATTGGCGGAGATGAGAAACAGCAATGTGGTTGCAAAATGCAAATGTCGTCAAAAGAGGATTCTTTGATCAACTCCACTCATCTCGCGAACTTTATCCCGCGAACACGTCATGTCACGTCCCTTATTATGTCATCGCGCGCGCTCTGGTGTACGGCAGTGAGCTGAATTTTACAGCTCGCTTAGCGCAGCCTCAGGAGACAGGTCAGGTTGGGTAGTTTTTTGGTTTTGCATGCGGTCAAAGTTGGTTTACATCGAGGATTAATGCCTGAACATGCATCGTGAAGATGGAGAAATAGAATAGATTTTGATATCTCTCAAACCCACAAAAAGCCTTGGTATCATCCCATTCCCTTCGTTACCCGTGAAAGAAACAAACCATTCATCATGAGAGGCTATCCGGCCCTTCTTTTCTCACACATCCGATCCAGACCTTGACTCCGTGTGATGTTTGACAAAGACAAGAGAAAATAACGAAGCCATCAACAAGACAGACCATAATATCTGTCCCAACACATTTCATACTACACCCCCCCTCTCCTCGCCACCGATCCCACCTTCTCTCCCCTGTAATCCCTATCCCTATCCTCCCGTTGACTCATCCTCGTCATCCTCGTCCCCCTAGGGCTCTCAGGCAAGTCGTATTCGTCCTCATCGCTATCCTCCTCCTCGTCCTCATCATCATCAGCATGATCCGACCTTCTCCGTGGCGGTGGTGTCCTCCCCACATTCACACCACCAAACGTCTCCCCCGGCTGTGGACTCCTCGGGTGCTTCTCCACCTTGACCGACCTGGTAACCTGTATCGACAACCTCAGGTGAGCCCGTGGCGGTGCTCGTAAACTTCCTGAACCAGGTGACCTCCCTCCACTCGTGGTATCCAACGGAGAGATGTCATCATCATCCTCGTTATGGTGATCAGGCGTATTCGACGGATGCAACGATGACCCCCCTCTCGCACCAGCAGAAACACTGCACGTCTGCTGTGATTCCAAATCCCCATGCATGACCGACCTGTTAAGTTTGTAGTCTGCCAGCCCGTTGTTGTTGTTCACCAACGGTAGTCCGCCTTCGTGTTCTTCCACTTGCCGGAGGAGGCTCCCTTTGCGCTTGGAGGAGGTTTTGTCTGATGTTTCGCTTAGCCTTCTGCTTCCTCTTCGGCCTAGTTGAGCAGCGAGGCCGATGAAGGACTGGCGGGAGTCACGGCGGATGGGGTGGCCGGTGATGGGGTCGATCCATTGGAGGCTGCTGTTTTCTCTTTGGATCTTGCTGCCCGAGTTGGGGGAGAGGAGCCGGGGAAAAAGGCGTTGGATGAGAGGTTTGAGGGTCATGAGGCAGGCGCAGCAGATGGCGGCGGAGACCTCGACCGAGGTCCAGTAGATCATCTGGGCCGAGGTGTAGGTTGCGTCGTAGCCGGCTTTTTTGACGATGTCGATAAGGTAGACTAGGCGGGTGATGGAGACGATGCAGACGCTGGGATAATGAGTTAGGAACATAAAGATACCCATGTATGTGGTGGAGGACTTACAAAAACCCCAAAGCAAACACCCCAACAAGAGCGTACTTTTGGCGTCTCGGCAGTTTCAAAGCTGAAAGCACTGGCATCTGGTTTCTTTCTGTCAGTCCTTCTTCTCCTCATCCATCCTAGCAATAACCTCAAACAGATCATCAGGCCAGGCAACAAAAAAAGAACATACCGGCAAAGCCATAATCACCAAATCACTAACAATATGCAAAGCCGCATTCGCCCACCAAATGTTCCCCGGCTGGCAATACACCTCCTGCGTAAAAAACAAACTCCAATTCCAGAACGCCTCAAGCGGGATACAAGCCGTGCAAACCGAAACAACAAGCCAGATCCCAATAAGCACCACAAGAACAAGCACAATTTGAATCGCCCGCTTCGCCCAGCTGTAGGTAAAGATGCGTCGATACAGCAAAAGTATCGAAATCCTTGAGAAGGTGAGACTCAAATTGTAAAACAGAATCCCATACCAAGCCGCCCTTTCCAGCGCCGACATCTGCATCCAGTCCGCCTCCCAGGCGTGTCTCCCGGCCCCTCGAGCCATTTCTAGATTTGCTGTCAGTAATCACAATCTCGATATCAGAAACCGTGCGGCAAGACCTACGCTCAAGAGAACTAGCCATCACACCAGCGGCAAACACCAACGCCGGAATGATACACCAATCCGACGCCCCCAGCACATTGTTGAGTTTACCCCTCGTGTAAAACCTCACCACCACGAACCCAAGCGCGATGAGCCATGTTATCACCGCGCAAGCCACGATATCGGCTTGCAGCGATCGCCCAGCATCAGTCGGTATTGGCCCCCAAGGTAGAAACGTCTCGTTGGTTCCCACTGTGAAGTTTGTCCCGTTTGTTGGGAATGTGAAGTTGAAATCTGTTGGCGGTGGTGGTGGTGGTGGTCCCTCGAAGGGAGGGATGCCAGTGCTGGCCAGAGGGTCGGGTCCCATTTCTGCGTCCCGGCTCTTGCAACCTAGGTACCTTGGGTATGTTTTGACGTTGGCGGTGTGGATTCTTGATGTCGATGGGGGTAGGAAACCATGCCCGCCCATCAACCCGAAAAAGGAGGAAAAAGAAGAATGTGGGAATAGCCCGATGGGGCTCACCAAGAACAGATATATCTCCAGCCAGCTTCTTGATGTCTGGAAAAAGCGCAGCCTTTCCCCGCAACTCGTTACCAGCCAAAATTTGAGGGAAAACGGGCGAAAAAAGGGGCCCGATGTGACTGTTCATCAACCGGCGGCGGCAGCAGCAGAATCAGGATCGGCAGTGCTGAGCTTTTCTGTCGACTCTTTTTCGCCTTGCAGGGTTGCAACCCGAACTATCGAAAACTCTGGGGAAGCGGAAAACGGTTTCTTGGTTCCTGTCTGGGGGTGCAAGCAACATCAAATAAGTAATGTCTAGCTAGGAACGTTTGGAAATGAGTAATGGCCGCAAAGGGAATAATCGTTGGAAAGAAATCAGGGCACGTACTCGTGTTTGATGTTGGGTGTCATTGTTTATGCCTTCCAACCGTGACAACGCTCTCTCTCGCACTCGCAAGCTAGGGCATTGTAGAGAGAAGGGGGATGGCGAGGTTAGTTAGTCCTTGCAAGCTTCCACTTTGCCGGCCGGTGTGTTCCTGGACGAGGTTGCTTCAGAGGGTGGCACTTCGGAACTTGTAAGATTTGAGTCCCTGTTAGGCCATGATTGCTTCTGGGTGGATAATGCGGGGAGTCCTGGCCCAGTCATAGGGTACGGGCGGTATAAAAGGCAACGTGCGCTCAACTGTCGAGTACAAGGAAACATTGGTTCTTGCTCCGCTCCGCCGAATGGGTCGACGTACATTTGGTTCGCTGGAAAGCGTGCCCGAGCGCTGAGTGACACTTTTGAGCTTTGGTAGACAGGACGAGGATGGTGGAGATTGAAACATTTCCAGATCCATATTGAAGATAATTTTACCGTTAAGCAAGTAGCGATCTTCGACTCCAAGGTCTGCCTGAAAATATTTCCTTGTCATTAATGGCCAGCTCCGGCAGACTTCCTGCTCATCAGGCCTCGTCATCTTCATCAACGAAAAACATGCTGAAGAGCGGTCATGTCCCAAATCCTCTGCGAGGCCGACAGCGCTCAGGTCAATCCCAGACCCCAGAAGCGAATGCAACACTGGTGCTGGCCACCATACCCGACTTGACCCAGCGCTAAGCTTGATCGAGAACCCCGCCAACACCCTCCGACCTCCCGCATTCAAACAAGAACCATGGTGGTACTCCCTATTTCTACCGCCGGAATTCCGCATTTGGACCAAGTTGTGCTGTCACACATGTCAAAAGGAGGGCTGGTACCGGCAGTTGAATGGATGGATGGATGGATGGATGGATGTGGCGGAGTGTGAATCATGCAATGCAAAGCAGTGGCGTGTTGCCGAAAGGATTTTGACATTTTCTGGGGAAGAGGTGGGACATGATTGGTTTTTGGTTTATGAGATGCGGCTACAGGAAGCCAAGAGATCTATCTCTCTAGATACATAGGCCAAAAACGTGGCACAGATTGCTTCATTTGAATTGACCTGGTCGAAGGCAGGACACAAGAGGGAGAACAGACTTCCACGCATAAAATGATGGTCACTGGCTCCCCGGAGGTGTGTGACACAGCATTGCTGAACTCTGCGCTCTCGAAAAGAAATTCGGCAAATGTCAAAGGTGCCAGGTCATTCATCAGGAGTTCCCCTCATGATTGGGCTTCTTTTATATTGTATTGCCGCCCTAGATATTGCACCCCATCTTGGCCAATATCAGGCTGCGAGGCCCGCAAGTCCGGATTTCAAAACATTCCGCCAATAGGTATATCACATGAAAGTCACCACAAAGCAGTTTCTTAAAGCAAATTCAAAACAATCTATTGCAGCAAAACTACCACTGGTATCTATCCCAAATCACAACCCAACTCCAATGCTCCAATGCAATGCAGTTTACTAGTGATTATCGTCCTAAAGCCCATCCGAGAGGTAAAAATACCGAAATCAACAAAAGCCATAGCTGAGATTGGAGTTGCCAACCCAGCAGGTGTACTGATCATATGTGACCTAAGGGTTGCTGACGTAGCTTCTCGCCTGTCTGAGGTCCTCCATATCGTGGTGCTCTCTCGCGTTCGCCTTTTCCACATCCGAGTCCATGTGGTCGTCGTCACCACCAAAAGCATACTTGCTGCGCGCTCTGATCCTCGCGCCGTATCTCCAGAACAGAAACGGAATGGCACAGCAGGCAAGAGCCAAGAAGGCCAGGAAAGTACTGGCCCATTGATCACCCATCCTGTCATACATTTGCTCGGTGAAAAGCACGACACCAGCGCCCCAGAAAGATCGAATAAACGTCTTGGCAGCAAGTGCTGAAGCGGCCTGGTGCTGATAAGAGTCGACAAGATAGTTGTTGGCCGCGTTGTACAGGAAGATGAAGCCAAAACCAACGGGAAGACCAGCAAGGCAAGGGCCAACCCAGGTCAGATGTGGGTATGAAGACCAAGCAAAGATGAACATGCCGATGGGGATGAACCAGCAGCTCAGCATCATTGGAATCAAACGAACCTCGGCAGGTGGCTTTCCGCCGTGCTTGGCCACCAAAGTGAGATAGTGCTTGTTGACCCACGGGGAGCAGGCGGCCGAGAGCACGACGCCGACAGCAATGGGAATAAACATCAAGCCAGTAATACCAGATGAGTACCCCTTCCTGACCTCGAAAATAATAGGGTATGCGACGAAGAACATGTACAGAAGGCCATAGAGAACCGACATGTACAGACTGATGAGGAGAACGATGAGCTCGCGGAAGAGAAGCTGGAATGGACGAATCATGAAGACACCCATGCGCTCCTTGAGGGGTCTTGGGTCGAGCTCAGCCTCGGTGACATGGCCATTGTCGCCTGTCTCCTTGCGAAGTCTCTTGGCTCTGGCGGCAAGGATGGTTGGTGCGTAAGTCTCGGGAACGGTGAAGGTGATGAGGACCCAGACAACGAAAGAGAAGATGAGCTGAATCCAATAGAGCCATCTCCAGCCAGCAGCATCAGACAAGAAACCGCCGATCAATGGACCAACTGTTCATTGTTAGCTTTGTGGTCAGACTGGAGAAAACTAGGGGATCCTTACTTGCGGGGCCAATAAAGGGGGCGGCGGAGAAAGCAGCCATGGGAACACCTCGCTCCTCGTTCCTCCAGAGATCTGCCAGGGTGCCGCCTACCAATGTCATGGGCGCAGAAAATGCAATGCCATCGATAGTTCTGCAAACAATGAGGGTCCCGATGTTCTTGGAGACAGCGCATGGGATGATGAAGATGACGGCCAGCAATAGAGTTGAGCCATATATGATTCGTCTCCCGAAGACCTCAGAAAGAGGAGCAAAAATCATAGGACCTGGGCGTCACAATATCAGAACACATACTGCCAAACCAAGACATTACAATGCTGTTGACTTACCAACACCAAAACCAACAACGAATACCGAGATGGGAACAAGCGCAGCCTCATGGCTGACTCCAAAAGACTCCTGAACGCCACCAACATCCGAAGTGACAACACTGGAACAAAAAGCGACAACGAAGCATGTAACTGCCACAACCATGGTGATGTACCACTTGTACGCCTTTGACCAGTTTTTCGGGTCATCGGGATCTCCTGGAGCGAAGGTGACCAGTTTGTACTCCTGACGTGTATCTGCTGCCCCAGCTAGTTTTCCGTGCTTCTCGGCCGGTGCTGGAACTTGTGGTCTTGTCTCGGGGGAACGATCAGCTGAACTCCGTGCAGAGGCGGCATTGGGTTCCGGTGAGATGATGGAAGCATAGTGAGCATTGTCGTCGCTGTCGTATGGGTATGGGGGTACTTGGCCCGTGGCGGATGTCGGTGCTGCCATGTTGAAGAGCCTCTCCTCCTCTATTAATCGATATATTGATGCTGGATCCCGACTGCGAAGTTGATGATGAATGAGCGACCTGCGGTGTCGTATTACAGGGAGCGAATGATAAACGAATGTGATCCAAACATCCCACTCGAAACCTGGCTGTGTACTATTCTGGAACGATATCTGAATCCATCACGGCGGCTCCAGAGACTTATATCTTCGAAATGGGAGTGCCCGTGGCGGTCTTTGCTCGGGAGCGTTCGGTGGTTCCCCTGCACGAAGCTGCCATTCCCTGTGCCGATCATGGACGAACGCCATTCGCGATACCAAACATCGCGGCCGTCGTCCCTTGAGCCGCACGGGTCTTGGATAGCATGAGGAAGATGTAACCAATGCGGGTGTCCAGATAACTGGGGCCTGGAACGTTGTCACTCATTCTTTCTGCCCTAGGGGTGGCAACAATGGAGCCATGAAACAGCATCAGGGATCCCCTCGCTCACAGCTCACGCAGGTCAGGGCCGAGCCGATAGCGATTGTCAGGAGCGTAAATGACGATGCCAAGGCACGTGGGATCATACATCGCTGTTCCTGGGATTGACGGGAAATAAGTGGGCGGAGGCTTGTGTTGATTGGCGGTGATCTTCGGCATCGCGCGGTCACCATAACCGCGAGGACATTCGCGCCCCATCATAAGATAAATACAGCTGTGAGGTCGGGCGCCGACGTCGACGTCCCGGCTGCCATCGGTTACAATAAGATGATGCCAGTGAAAATTTTTCCAGCCTGTTGAGATGGTCCTGGAGGTGCTGTCTCGTCACCGCCATTTGAGATAGTTCTGTAAAAATGTCATGTCAATCTCACAAGTAGTTCAGACGTCAAGGAGGATGGGATGGCAGATCCGATCTGCAATGGCATCTTTTCGTTCGATATCGAAACTGCCTGAAGCATGCTCAACTCGAGTTTTTCCAATATCGTCCAGCAGTTCAAGATGTGAAACTATCGCCACGCCCGCTCTCCGTTCGGTCGGGATGTTCGGAAGGTGACACAAGCGGCTGTACTCGGAGCCACCAGGGGTGGAGAATGACTCGTGAGGTTTTCTGCATGGAAGTTGTGGGTCATGGCATCTTTGGAAACAGCGCGAAGTTGCTAGTCTTTCAGAAAGCAAGAGAAAATAGCGGGCTGGAGGATGGATGTCCGGATGTTGAGTGAGAGAGGTGCTCATTGTAGGGGGTCGGCCAATTCTTCTTGTGTTTGGGGGTGTGAAGGAAGCTGGGGTGACGGGGTGTGAAATTCTTTGGTGCTCGCTTAAGAAAACAAGCTTTCCGAAAGCTTGGCTCTGCTCCGTCCCGGCGACACAACCTTGCCCACGGCCACCGGCTCGACCCACTCTCATCCAAACTGCAAAACCTACGGAGACGGAGTAGTAAGTACAGTAAGAATTCTCAGTTCTCAACGAACTTGAGCTGTCATCAAATAATTGACTAGGTACCTCGAAATCAGGATGCCAGTGACAGTCCCTCATGGCCAGGTTTAAGACGGGAATGAAGACCACATTTGGATTGTAGAACACTCTTGAGGGACTGAGACGCAAGATAAATCACCAGCTTTCTATAAGCCATCTCGCCGAGAGATAGGATGAATTATATTGATCCAGCCCCTTCTTAAACACTGCAATTCCCCGACTCATAAGTCGTCGGAAGACCTCTTTCCACTGCTTGTGATGGATGCCAAGTACCCCTCCTGAGTTTTGCGGTCATGTCATTAAAAGGTGATACCTGGAAATGCATTGATTTATTTGAGGTTGACCATCTGCCACAACTTATTTGTCTGTGAGACTGTGGCAGCAAGTTGATATTGAAACATCAAAACTTTTGTCTTCCACTATCTGCAAGTTGTTTGGGTCACTAAACCCTCAGGGACTGTAGTGGGAACACATTATACAAGCAGAGCCCAAGGCGACTGTGGTTGATGAACGATTGGTGACAAAAGCAAACGAGACTAGGTATGATGGGGACAAGGACATGAGGTTGCTGCGATTGATTTTGCAAACTCGTATGGACGTTTCAAACACGGTGAATTCGAATGAAAACGGCTGCCAATGCCCGCTCCATGTTGGCAAAAGTCTTAAGCAATGGGAAAAGATACGATCCGTCACACTTGGTGCATAGAAAAGGAATCTGGACCTATCTATTTGTCCTTCTAGTTTCTTTTCTCGCAATAGCTGTTTATAAGCTACTAAGCCCAGTTGTAATATCCTTCATCGAATATTAAAGGTATAAGAAGAAGCCAGAACGTTGCCAATTATAAGACCATCTACTTGCTTTGTCAGCACGTGACAAGCGAATATCCTCTGTGGCGCAATTGGCTAGCGCGTCTGACTGTTAATCAGGAGGTTGGAAGTTCGAGCCTTCCCGGAGGAGTTCTTTTTGTTCCTCCTCTCAACCTGCTGCAAGGTCCTTCTAAAAACCACTGTCAGTTTTTATGACCATCCATCAAAGTGGTCAGCCAGTGTGAAGAGCATTGTGGGATGGCTCTGCTCTTTTCATAAGAGTTTGTTCTCGGCCGAGACCTTGCATGGGTTGATGTGTGGTGGATCCGCACGTGACGATTGGCTGCAAATGCCAATGGCCTGTCGGGCTCTGGGTGCCGCGTCCAATCCAGATTACGGTATTTCCAAAGTTTCATTTCATCCTCCTTGCAACACCAGCTTTTTGCGCACCGGTTTCCCGATTTACCGCCGGTAAAGATCGATACGCAAACGCGGGCCACAGACCGTCCAGTTGTCCAAAAACAACCACAGTCTCAAGTCTGGCCAGCAGCGCCTTCGATCCCCGGTTCACAACCTGGCTTTAATGGGAAGACAGCCCGGCTGGAGCAGGCCGTACGACGGAGACATGCCCCGTCACATCGATCAAGATGTCCACAGCGCCTTTGTGGAATTTCGCAATGGCAGTAAGTTGGGTCACCTTACCGTCGTCACCGTATTGACAGTACCCGTACCCGTACCCACGCGCCACCGCCGCGTACACAACACATACATCACATACACCATGATACCTTACATGCTGCCCTCTGCTAACCTTGCCGTCATTGCGCTCCACACGTAGGCCAACCCCAATTGC